GTCAATTTAGCCAATTCCGTCATAAGTGATGATGGGCCAATCGTTTACCATGGTGTGGTCGTTGACTCTGTATACATTTCATAGTTAACACAGTTGCTATAGGATAAAAATAACTTTCTTTATCCTGACCTTACAAACTGCGACAAAGTCTCGACATTTATCACATCATAGAAGTTTAAAACTAAATTTATCTTTGACTTTCCCCAAATTCTATGCTAGCTTTTCTTCAAGTATCATTCTGCTTTTCAGAACTGGTCATATTTGGTTTATTCCCTTTATACCTCCCTCCCCTTCAAGCCTAGTCATTGGGCAGACATTCTTTGGCAAGGTCACCCTCAAATGCTATGGTGGATTGAGATGGGTAGAGCTGGTGTTCATGTATTCACATAGGGTGTGCTGTTTTTCTGTGGGCATCAAGCTAGGACTAAATAAGATGTTTGTATGTGTTTCTTTAATATATAGTAATTTACATTATTAAATATGAAAAATTCAATATATATTTTAGTGATTTATAATAATAGCTAGATTAATATACAGCATTAACTTTCTTAAATGGTAGCACCTACATTGGCCAAATGTGATAGAAATGGCACATGAAGCTTTACACGTAACATTGCTGCTTCGTTGCTTGATAGTTCCGCTGAGCAGGCCCAACATCGTCAGGTGTTCTTGGGTTGAGGGCCGAAAACACCGCTAGCAAAGTGATCATAGCGGTTTTTCTAGTTTGCCTATTGCTTTGTTTAAGACTATTTATTGTTAATTGTAGGTATTATTGTAGAATTTTAAAAGCTCTTCTGTTAGAAGTTATTACATGACGTAACGTTATCGCTGGGTGGGTTCTTTTGAATCATTTCGTAAAAATAATGCTAAGTCCATTCACTTATCGATAACGAATTACTTATTTCTTCAATAACGTTTTAAACCGGTGTAGTAGTTTGAGTTGTTAAAATGTGCCTTACTAGAGGTTTAGCCCTTTAATCCAGTTGGTAAAGCACTTCCCTGATATTTGAGTGGTCTCGGGTTCAAATCTGAGGTGATAATATATGGTGCAAAAATTAATAGACAGGCTACAGACGATATTGTTGAATTGGCCAGCTAAATCCTGGAACTGGGCTTAGTATTGAAATAACTGGAGTAACCCAGGAAGTTCCTGCAGTCATAAATGGCACACTAGTAGTAGTAGTAGCAAACAATGTTAAAAGGTGTAAACCAAATAGTTTATTCTATTCCATATTTTATAGTAAATGATGTTTTAAGTTATAACTCCGTAAAACAACATGCTACTGTACCTAATGAAACTGCTGCTAAACAAGTCAATATTCCTACTGAAATGCCCCCCTCCCCAGTGGCACAGCGGTATGTCTGCGGACTTACAATGCTAGAATCCGGGTTTCGATACCCGTGATGGGCAAAGCACAGATAGCCTATTGTGTAGCTTTGTGTTTAATTACAAACAAACAAACCTACTGAAATCACGTAAAACGTGTTACTACACCGACTAAGTGTCCTGTAAAACAGCATGCTACTTTGTTTTTTGTTTTTTTTAAATTACGTTTTAATTATTCACTTTTACTGTTACTCACTTAGATAAACGATAAATATATATAATGAAAAAGTGTCCAATGAAAGTACTTTAAAAGTTTGGCAACTAAAAACCTTTATTGTTTAACTTGTAAAGAATGAAAAAAATCTAAGAGTAATACTATTGATGTTGATAGAAGTTTTAAAAACTAGTTAAACCTAGTTTTGCTTAATACTAAGTGAAACCACTAAATGTTATGGCCAGATTTATGTGAACAATTAAAATCTTCTTTCTTGCATTTCAAAGGAGATAGCCGTAGAATAGTTTTCACGGGATTCCATACTTGCAGATCCTTATAAACTGTTTTAATAGATTTTAAAGCAATGTCGTAAAAATACAAAAAGTAAACAAACATGCACTGTGAGTGTAGAGTTAACCTTACCTGGTTACAAAATATCCCAGAATGACGAAATATATCGAAAACACTACGCAACATCTAAAAAAAAACAACAACCCATAATCTAAAAATTAAACAAGCTAAACACATTAAACATTTACATTATGACAATATTTTTACATTTAAGAAGTCACGTACTGTTTTTTTATGAATATTAAAGTCCAACATCATTTGAAAATTCAATAATAAAAGCGGAAGGATCTAGTATGAAATTTCATTCTTTTCCAGGGCACATAGATTTTGTGAGTTTACATGCTTCGCTTTAAATAACATTGATACATTTTGTGTACAACTAAATTTATAAACAATATAATATAAAAAGGAGTACAGAAGCTATGCATTCCCCAAGCGGTTTTATGACTACGTGTATAGTTGACAATGACGTCACTCTCCTGGTACTTATCGCGTCTCGACTGCGATCAATGAATTAGCTTGCACATTTGTGCTGGAAGTCATGTTAGTCATCTGAGGGAATATGGTGTGCTACTGACGCATTGCACCTTTCAATAGCGCAGTAGTCACAGTTCGAAAAATCTTTGGATGTTGGTTGGATAAGTACGTGCTGTAGGCTCCGCAGTGTCTCGTAGTCGCAGGTAATAACGCACGCATCTACGCTGGATATCAAAAAGCCCCCGAGAAAAAAGAATAAAGATACCAACAGACAAGATTTTCACGACATATACAAGTAAGTGCATATTCTGAGAAAATCACAATATAAATATTTTTAATTATGTCTATGCGATTTTAAATATATCATTTACTGATACTATTTTATTTGTATTTTTTGTTTTATTTCATATTGAAGTACAAACTATAGCAAATTAAAATCTAAGCGGAGTAATTATGGAAATCCATAAATAACTGAACAGTGTAGTCGCAGTTCAATCTATTCTAATGTTTAGTTTTTTAAAACATGTCTTACTGCTACAATAACCGTGTATAATTAAGTAGTTTAGCAACAAAACAGTGGCACAGCGGTATGTCTGCGGACTTACAACGCTAGAATCCGGGTTTGATACCCGTGGTGGGCAGAGCACACATAGCCCATTCTGTAGCTTTGTACTTAATTAAAAACAAACAAACAATACCGTTACCGATTGGATAAAAGCGTCAAATTTTGTGTGAAGCGCCTATAATCCTAATAATTACTTTTAGGCTAAGAGCCCTCCTGAATTTCACCTGGTATCCATGTGAAGCACCAAAATCCAAAACGGCCAATGTGCATGGTCAAAACTCATCTCACATTTTAAAAGGCCCAACTGGTATCAAAATAGAGGTTTTTAGTACACTTTTATTCTTTTTAGAACAGGTACAGGCAAATCAATAATCTAGATTTAGTGAAAACGTTGTTAGTAAAGTTTTATTCTTAGGTGTTTTTCACATCGGGCATGCACATTGCTGAAACTAATGTTTTCATTGTCTATGTGATATTATGTAACTTGTATTTGCATCTGCAATGCTTTCAGTGTGCATCTGAGATTCTGGTGCTCATTATGTTTGTACTTGCAAAAGGGTAAGCAATCTACATTGGTCCTGCAATATTTACGTTGGAACAGTCTTCTTTACAGAAACACTTGATTAACCTCCTGCACGTCCTAGAGACTTCAAAACTGGCAACCAGGATTTATCTACCTTTTTCCCCAGGCAAATCTTTGTGGAGAAGGTATTTATGATTTTAAGGTACCACCTGTTGAGTCTGGTTGCTGGGTGTCAAAATTACAGCCTGGTAGACTACCCGTTGGATATACTCAAGTAGGGTTTCTTAAAATACAATATGTATTGTCTACCATCTGACATATGTTATTAATAACAACGTGAATAAAATGAAAATACTGCTACGACATCGAGGTCACGTGACTAGTATCACGCCACGTCATTCTCGAACTTTCACGTCTTTTCCTTAAATCTCGTGATCTTTCAAGATATAGTGTAGTCTTGTATATATAAGACCGGCCACAAAGCGACGAAAAGGTAATGAGTAATTGAATGTATGCAGATAAAATATTGTTGGCCACGTGAGACGTGAGTTATAGCGTTGTTATAGAGCGGCTGTTGAAATTAAGTGTATCGTAAAGTTGTATTCGGAAAGAATAAACCAGTTTTATTTAAAAAAGGACTTGTGTCGCTAAAGTTTCGTCGGAACGAATTTACGGAAAATTAACTAACGAACAGAGACGTAACAATACCAATATCACCTAAGAGTGTGGCTGGTTTTACATATACAAGTACAATATCCATATAATAAATTTCTCGTGATCGATATGATATTAGTTTTACTCAAAAAACATCATAACATTTTTTCCAACATGAAGAGCTCTAGAGAATGATTCACTGTAAAAAGAATTCCAAATAAACCCTACCAAAACATCTGAGAATTGTCTACAACAGAACATGACAAAAATGTAGCCGCTATTATCAATTTCGCTAATCATGTGACTGCAGATAACTGGATAATATTGTTATGTTCATAATCAAATTCCTTGACCTCACCTATTTTGATACTAGTTGCTGTTTGTTATTAAGAACAAAGCTACACAAAGGGCTACCTGTGCTCTGCCCACCACGGGTATCGAAATCCGGTTCCCAGTAGCATAAGTCCGCAGACATACCGCTATGCTACTGGGGGCGATACTAGTTGCGCCCACCTGTGACTTGTAGTGCCTTTTGAATGAGATTTTATCCAGCTAGTAACAGTAACATTGAAGATTGACGATAAGCCGCCTGAATAATACATTTATAATATTTTTTATTAAATGTACTACAAGCAGGTTTCATTGTATATTTTTAAGCAAACCTGTTATTTATGCATAAAGCCTGGGGATGAGCAGTCGCTCGAAACATATTGTTACGTCTCCGTTTGTTAATTGAT